ATCCTCCAGTGATTCCTGATGTTCCCTCCATGTCTTTTTCAAGCCCACTGAGCCTTCAATAGAGAGAACACTTCTCAAGGACTGTCATCTCACTCAAGGGTGACACTAGGGAGCACAAGGTTGAGTTATAAAGTAGATCTCTTTGTGTGATGTAGGCACTAGTCTGGACTTCACCTGCTCACAAGAATTGCCCCATTCTGGTTGCAGCACTTTTGGGCTCTGTTTTGCCATATGGGGTCATGTGCACTCAGTGGTCTCTGACCACATGGGTCTTGTTTTCTGGCTCTTCCCATAGCCTCGCTACTGTGCTTGAGCCACAAGATGAATAAAAGAAAAATCTTCTGTTTTAATTTGTCACCTATTCTAATCTGAGCTTCCAGCCCTGCTTAACTGCCTGATTCTTTTTTGTTGGGCCTTTACACATTTTTTCTTAATCTGTTTCATAAGGTGAGGTTCTTGGTATGGCAGTAGCAGAAAATACTGGACTAAAGGAGCTTAATATCAGCTGGAACTACTTCCGTAGCCAAGGAGCAGCGGCCTTAGCCAAAGGCTTTGGGGTAGGACGTTTGTTTTGTCTGCTGTCTTTGCACCCTGTAATACTCATTTTAAGCTTCACCTGTTTGGACAGACACTGCCATCATAACTTACTGTCTGTCTCTCTTATGTGATTGCCTGACCATAAACCATTGAGAAATCTGGAAGTGTATAGTCCTTGAACTCGGAGAGATAAAAATCATGATTTTAAAAAGTTAAAAATCAATCTTGATTTTTTAAAATTTCCATTTGTGGTTTGAAGTTCATTTCTTTCATCCCATTTTACATAATTTCTAACTGGTGTGTAGCCCCCATCCCCTGACCCTTATGAGATTTCACACTGTAAATTCTTATTGCTGCTGAAAAATATTAATCCAGGGCCTTGTTAACATCTTTACTGTGAGACTAGCACGAATTCACACAGAGGTAGATAAGCAAACAGCCTGAGCTATATTCACAACTTGCCTCCCCGCCAACATCTCACTGCACTTCCACAAGCCATTAAAGCAAAAACAATTCAAAGCTCCTCAAGACTTGCAGTTTGAAATTGATAGGACTTGTGCTCCTAAATAATGTAGGTGCTTTTGAAAATCCCACTCGTAGGAACGTAAATTTTGAATTTAACTTAACTTTAAGCACTTTGTTTTGAAAATGCAGGGATGCATGTATTCATAAGTTAGAATACTTATTAATGTGTTGGATAAGTATAAATAACTTTGCATTGTTAACATGGAATCACTTTGTTTTGAAGTGAGATACTACTTTTAAAAAAATACAGACATAATTTTAACCGCTTTTACACTTACAAATATGCTTAACTTTAAGTCTACAAGTCGCCTCAGTGAATGCCTAGGACTGTTCATGTTGATAAAGTTATATTCTGGCTTGGTTTTCAAGATTAGGAACTTAATTTCAATATTTTGATTTTTGTCTATAGTGTTTTAAAAAATTCAAGTAAAATCTCTTTCAAATAATTGCATTGTTTTTAAAAAAAATCATAATTTAATTAATTTAAAATGTTAAAATAGCTTAAATTTTCAAGCTGATGTCATAAAGCCTCAACCTGATTTAATGATTTATTTAAATCAAGTGATTACAATCAGTACCAGATTAAATTAATAGTTCTAAGAATAAATTCCAGATCAGGATATTTCTTAAAATAAATAAAATCCATTTTAGAAAATTCCATTCATAAAACTGGTGAGTTCAAAATGACATGAATAATCTCTCTGCCAGAAAATGCAAAGTTGAGACTGTGTGTGCAACTTTACTTCTATTCAGTTGTGAGTGTGCTTTTTTAACAATGAGGTTATTTTTCTAATGTGGTACGTTATACTGCAGGTTTTTTTTAATATTATTAGTCATCCTACAAGATAATTCCCTTGATGAAGGAGGGCCAAAAAGAAAAAAAAATTAGCTGCAGAGGAAACACAATTATTCTCTTTGTTTTGTTTTTTGGTTCATTCTGATAAAGATACTCTGCCTGACTTTTGTGTGTGAACGGGTACAGCTAGACTACAAGTTTTTGTCAGAAAAAGATGTGCAAAATGCGCTCTGCATTTTGTATACCTTTTTCTGATTCTTTTGTTAGAAGAGGCTTTTCCGACATTTGGCCCATCTAGATTGGGCCAAATGTTGGGGAAAAAAACCCCTCTTTTGGAAGCCCCCTTCCTCCTCGTAGTATGGACACATCCCAACTCCTCCGCCTACCCCTCTGCAGTCTAGCCATACCCTTTGTTATTGTTAATATAGGTAGATATTTACATTAAAGAAATCTCCAATTTTTGTTTTCTTGTTTTGCTGGAAGAATCTGAGGTGGAGTGAAAAAGTAAAAGGTGAAAGATTTAAGAGACTGAGATCTAAACAGTTGAATGAGGAAGAGATTTCTAGTCAGATTGTTTAAAATGTCTGGTATTTTCGGGTTTTTTTTTTTTGTTAATACGTCAGATTGTTTAAAATGTGTGGGATTTTCGGGTTTTTTTTTTTTGTTAATACCTATTTAACTAAAGCTGCTAACTCATCATCAACACCCCTTTCAGGTGAGGGCTGAGAAAACTCATTGCTGCCATTATCTAGTTCAGGAAACACCTGTCCTGCACAACAAAGAACAGGTTTGATATTCTTGAAGGAACTGGCCCATGCCACCAGAAAAGCACCTTAAAAATCCTTCATGACTTGGTGATTTTGGGGGATGATTGCATGAAATTTTGGTGTTTTTCTTATGACTTGAACTGTTACGAGTTAGCAATCCTGGAGGCATCCAAATTGAGCTCACTGAGGCTATTCTATTCCAGACTGTTCAGTCAGCATCTTCTCTCTCTTTACTGTTCCTTCCTTACCTGTCACCCTGCCCCTTATACAAGGAGTTTTAACACGTGCTGAGGTTTGCATTGAGCATGAAGCCAACAGTGTGGATCCCAGGTTATCTACTAGCTATCCGTTACCTAATACCCAGCTGCACATCTCCTCCACTTTTTTAGATTGTTTCTTGAGGTCCACCTCCTGGACTCTAGCAGCTGATCATTTGTGCTGTACTCTGTAAGACTCACAACCTTCTTGTCGGTGATATTCGGATCCAATGGGAACTGGGGTCAAGTAAAAAAGCTGCTAGACCTGTGAGCAACAGGGGATCTTGCAAGGCAGAGAAAAAGATTTCAAGGAAGAAGGACGCCTGACATTTTTAGGAGGGTCATGTTAGGGAGAAGGAATTTTTCTGATGATTGCACACCACAAGTTACAGTTGTTTTTATGAAACGTCTTTTGTTCATTCTCTCCTCTCACTCACTTTCCCTCTGCATTTATGTTTAATTGTATTTTAGAAGTGTGACCAATGAAAGGTTATTTTGCAAGGGAGACACAGATTCTCAAGCTACATGAGATTTTTTAACACTAATTCTGTCCTGTTCCATAGGCAAACATATTCCTCAGAGTTCTGGATATTTCGTACAATGGCTTTGGCAACAACGGTGCAGCTGCCCTAGGGGAGGCCCTTAAAGTCAACAATGTGCTAGAGGAACTCAACGTTAGGTAAGTTAGGCTCAGGTCGTAATACAATATGCTCCACTCAGAAATCCTAAGCAGCCATTGGTTTCTTTTTTATGTGTAAAGAGAGATAGATTTGCTGGCATTAAGATGAAAAAGAAAATATCATGTAATGGGAGTTTGGCAGTAAAAACATAGGAATCCCCCAATCCTTTTCTTAATCTTCTAACTGTGTAAGATTATTTTGCAGCTGTTATTTTCTGCCCTACCCTCAGTCATGGCTGCTATGTCCCTCACTCTGTAGTTGTCATAGTGGCCCCAAAGAAAGAGATGTTGCAAAAGAAAGAGGAGAGTTACTGGAATTAAGGTAATATCATTGCAAGCATAAATTTGGAAGGAAATACATGGATTCCAGCTGGCTGGGGAGCATGGATGGAAAGAGATTTAATTATAAGAATCTAGAGTTACTAAAGGTTGCACTTCTATTAATCGGAACATTCTGGTCCGGCAACATCTGTAGTCTGGAATGACCAGGGATATTCCAGGATCAGAGAGTTCCAGCAAGTTGCAGGTATGTAGGGGCCCTGGAGCCCAGCACTTTTTGGGAGGGGGCAATGTGTGGGCAGTGGAGGGAGTGCTGTGAAGCCCTGCATGTGGCTCAGCTGGGCTGCGGGGAGGGGATCAAAAGTTGACATGCAATTCAGCTAGGCTGCAGGGTGGGGCAGGAGCCAGCACATGACTCAGCTGGACTGCGGGGGTGAGGAGGCTGGGAGCAGGCATGCAGCTCAGCTGGGCTATGGGGTGGGGGAATGGGAGCCACTGCATGGCTCAGCTGGGTTGCAGTGGGAGCCAGGAAGCCCGGTGGGAGGAACTGACACTAGGGGGGCCAGAAATGGCCTCCCCTGGTCTGGAAAAATCCCTTATCAGTGACCAGTCAGGTCTCATGGGTGCTGGCTCACCTGTAACACCTCTAGAAATGAGAAGAAAAGTGAAATGGGTCTTTGGAGTTTAGAGGGAATCTTGTGAAGCATAAGAGAGAACTCTTGTTTGTGCTCACAATGAGAGCTGGACAAATTCCTTTTTCCTGAAAGCAGAGGCCTGTATACTTTGAGGTGTGGCATAGGCCTGTGTACAAAAGATAGTGTGATAAGTACTGTTGATTTGATAGGGCTTATAATAGAACATGGACATAATGTTATGAAGAGAGTTGATTTAAAGAGGAGGCTGATTAGTTCAGCAAAGGGAGAGTCAAGAAAATAATAAACACTGAAGAAGGTAAGGGTGAGCCATAAGACTGAGTAATTTTCAGAGAGATGCTAGTTATGGATACCATAAACATAATCCTAAATTATCATGAGAGGGGCCATGAACAAGGGGGTAATGGCCTAGTACTCCCCACAATGTTTTATCCCACCGGCAAGCTGCCAGTGAATCTTCCTCCCAGTAAGTGAGGTGCCAGAGGGAACTACACTCTAAAACAGAAGGCAGTGGCTGCTGTGGGCTAGCTGGATATACATACAAAACTATGATTTCAAGGAACAGAGATGGAGGTTTTAATTGTTACACAAACAATAGAAACAAATGCTCAGAAATAGACATAAGCTAAGCAGGACCAGTCAGAGTCTGTATTTGGATGGGAGACCTTCAGGGAAAACGTGTGCACTTCAGGAAGTGGTGTAGCTACTGAATGGTATGTTGCTGGAGCTTGTTCTTCGGATGAAATTGAAAATCAACGACATATTTATTCAGGGTCACTAAAGATCTCACAGTGATTTCTGTGAGAGTAGGAACATTAATAAAGGTGTCCCAGACAAGTATGTATACTTCCTGCAGCTTCAATTGGAGATGGGATTCTTTCATTCCCTCTCCTTTTAATTGTTCTATGTGAGAGCTGCTAACCTGCTACTATTAATGTCCTTCCTGATGTGTCTGCGTGTTAGTTATGGATGAAGTGGTTCCCTGTAACTTTGCATGACTTTGTAAAACACATTGACGTCCTCCTGAATGCCATTTATACTGAATGTCTCCTTGTCAGTATGTCCCTGGGTGGGTAGAGGAAATGGAATGAGAAATGTAAGAAAATCTACCTCTTCTCTGTTGTCATAAGCAATAATCGCATTTCACTGGAAGGAGCACTACGCTTTGCAGTAGGCCTGAAAGAAAACCAAACCCTGAAGAGCCTTAATGTGAGTAATGCTTTTCTAAGCAGGTATTGGAACACACAATAAAGTATATATTGAAAATGTCACTGCCATGAGAGCTCTCTGAATCAGAGCCATTCTGCAGCCACAGCAGGAGTGTCTTCGGCATCAGTCTCTGGCCACTCCTGTGAAATGCAGTGTGTAGATGCTCTCATGTAGACACGGAATGTGTCAATTGTTAATCTTTTAAATTGGAACATTTTGTATCGCTCCCACTATGTGAACCAGAGCCTGCAACCTGTTGCTCTCTGCTCTGCCCTGCAGTCTGGCATCTTGCCTGCCAATGTGGAAGATGATCTTCCTTACCTCTGATGTCACCACTTTACATGTCAGCCTCATTTGCTGCACATATCTTATATAAAAGGTCATGGAGTGGTGGAGAGTGGTTATGACAGGGTGTATTGCATTTTAGATATTCCCAGCAGGTGTGTTCTCCTTTGAGGACCATTGGTAGCTAGAATATGATAGTGGCCTCCAGGGGCCAGGGCGAAGCAGACAATTATGAACCCACAACTAGCTCCCTGACAGCTTACCTCTTTTCTGCATTGCCCAGCAGAAGCTGGATCCAGCAAATAATCTTTTACTGGTATAAAATATGCTGTTGAGGTCAGGATCAAGGATGTGTAACCAAGATCCACATAGGTAAATTCAGCCAGAAAAGAAAGAAAGGCAAAGATTAAGCCTTGTGGGAATCCCTATTGAAAGACGGGGTAAGGAGGTGGAGCACCAGGAAAAAGTGGAGTTCTGGATGCTGGGGGAGGACAAGAAAACCATAATAAGGTCATGTGGTGGCTTTAGTAAGTCCTGGACACATCTTTATCATCTCTCAAAAGATTATTTTATAATAAATTTGCCTATGTGAGATTTTCAAATACTCTTCACCATCCATTCTTGTTACTGTGAGTTCTTGCTTTTGTCCCATTCCCATGGCATGTGCCTAAAGTCACTTGAGATGGATGATCTTCCTCTGTAAGACAGAGCTTCAGTTTGAGGTGTGACTTCCAGTTATCAAAGAGAAGCATATTAGTGGAAAGAACATGTGATCTGGATTTTTCCTGTCTTTGTTTCCTGTGTCTGCTTTTAGATGGCCAGGAATCCCATGCAGAATGAAGGCTGCTTGGGAGTTGTCAAATCCATACAAGCAAATTCCAGTGCTGTGATAGAAATCCTGGACTTCTCAGTAAGTGTTAAACAGTTGGGGGACTGAGACAAGTTTGATACTTCCAAAGGAAACTGGTATGAAATGTCAATAGTATAATCCTATTAACATGAATTATAAAAACAGTGTCATGACAGGCCACTGTTAGCTATGCCTTCACCGTAATACAATGGGTACCTACAAACATGTGCAAACATCGCTCTTGGATGTTCACATTGACGTGAAGGTGCATAAATACCTGTTCATGTATTTCTGTGCTGATTTTGAGTGTTCCACTCTAGGATATGGGTGTCTAGTTACGGTGCATAAGGCATTCCCCGTCTCACTGTTCTACTAAAACAGCAGAACCTAGAAGGAATTTGAGCTATTGCACATCCTGAAACTTATGAAAAAATCTGTCCCATCTCGGCTGGGAAGAACCCAGTCGTTTTATAAAGATTTGTGTTCCATTTCAATTAAAACTAAGTTACCCTCAGTGCAAAAACCTAGAGGACATTGAGACTCAGATAATTTTTTTAGAATCATAAATGATTATAGTTGGAAGAGACCTCATGAGGTCAGCTAGTCCAACCCTCTGCTCAAAGCAGGACTAACCCCAACTAAATAATTCCATCCAGGGCTTTATCTAGCTTGCCTTAAAAACCTCTAATATGGAGATTTCACCAACTCTCCAGGCAACCCATTTCAGTGCTTCACCACCCTCCTAATAAAGTAGTTTTTTCTAATATCCAACCTAGACCTCCCCTACTGCAGCTTGAGATCATTACTTCTTGTTATGTTATCTGCCACCACTGAGAATGGCCTAGCTCCATCCTGTTTGGAACCCTTCTTTAGGTAGATAATCAAAGCTGCTATCAAATTCTCCCTTTATTCTTCTCTTCTGCAGACTAAATAAACCCAGTTCTCTTAGCCTCTTCTCATAAGTCATGTGCCTCAGATCTCTAGATGAGGCATCACCAGGGCTGAATAGAAGAAAATAATCACTTCTCTTGGTCTGTCAGCAGTGCTAATACTAATGCAGCCCAATATGCCGTTACCCTTCCTGGAAACAAGGGCACACAGTTGACTCCTATCCAGCTTCTTGTCTACTCCAATCCCCAGGTCCTTTTCTTCAGAACTGCTAATTAGCCAGTCAATCCCCAGCCTGTAACAGTCCTTGGGATCTTCTGTCCTAAGTGTAGGCCTCTGCATTCGTTTTTGTTGTATCTCATCAAATTTCTTTTGGCCTAATCCTCCAATTTGTGTGGGCCACTCTGGACTGTATCCTTACACTTCTGCATATCTATATCTCCCCCCAGCTTAGTGTCATCCCACAAACTTGCTGAAGATGCAATTCATTCCATCATCCAGCTCATTAATGAAAATATTGAATAAAACTAGCTCTAGAACTGACACTTGGGCACTTCACTTGATGCCAACTAGATATCGAGCTATTGTTGAGCCCGATTATCTATCCAGCTTCCTATCCACTTTATAGACCATTTATCCAAGCCATACTTCTCTAACTTGCTGGCAAGAATAGTGTGGGAGATGGCATGAAAAGCTTTGCTAAAGACAAGGTATCTCACATTCACCACTTTCCATATGTCCACAGAGCCATTTGTCTCCTCATAGAAGGCAACCGGGTTGATCAGACATAACTCACCCTTGGTGGATATATGTCGACTGTTCCTGGTTACCTTCCTCTCCTACAAGTGTTTCAGAATGAATTCCCTGAGGACCTCTATTCCATGATTTTTCTAGGGACTGCGATGAGACTGGCTTTGTCTGTATTTCCCCAGATCTTCCTCCTTCCCTTTTTAAAAGATGGGCATTGCATTTGCCTTTTTCCCAATCATCTTAGACCTCCCCTGATCACAAGTTTTCAAAGAATAATGGCCAATAACTCTGCAATCACATCAGCCAGCTCTCTTTGAGTCCCAGATGCTTTAGATGCAGCCTTGTGGACCTTCACCTGTTCAGATTTTATAAGTAGTTCTTACCCTGTTCTTTCACTTTTGAGGTCTGCTCCCCTTCTTCCCATACTGGGCTGCCCATTCAGTATAGCAGTCTGGGAGCTGATCTTGTCTGTGAAGACCAAGTCAAAAATAAATAAATAAAAATGGAATACTTCAGCTTTTCCCACATCATCTGTCACTTGGCTGCCTTCCCCATTCAGTAGGCATTGCACACTTTTCTGTGCTTCCTTGTTGCTAACATACCTGGACAAGAAGGGTTTCTACTCCTTCACTTCCCTTGCTAGCTGCAACTCCAGTTGTGCTTAGACCGTCATATTTACACTCCTGGATGCTCAAGCAATATTTTTATATTCCTCCCTAGTCATCTGTCCAACTCTCCACTTTTTGTATCTTTTCTCTTTGGCTGTGTCTAGACTGGCCCGTTTTTTTTGGAAAACAGCCGCCTTTTCCG